TATATGCTAAACAGCTATAGGCAGTGGCATTGAAAGTTTTCCTTCTCGTCTCTGCCTTGACTGTTGGGTAGCTGGTTAGTATCCTTGGGTTTTCTGATCTTGTAAGAGAAAGTGAGGGGAAAAGACACTTATGCTAGTGTTTTTCATAGCTGCTTTTAAAAGAGAAGTAGCTTGGCTGGGGTCATCAGAGAAATCTGGAGGGCAGGAAGTCTACTGAGAGAAGAGGTGTTTTCTTCAGCTCCTTGCTGCTGCTGTTTGTAGTTGTCCTCCACGTGTGTGTGAAGCAGCTCATGGAACAGATAGTTCTCGCTTTGAATAAAAAAAAAAAAGGTTTTAACTTTCCTTGGTGTTTTTGATGAGGCAAGTTAGCAGAATTCTGAAAAATAGTGAAGAAACCTTTGATGAGACATGGTCAACAAAATGCCTTTTTGTACTGCTTCTGACTTGTAACGTTATTAGCCTTTCTTCATAGACAGAGTTTGCCAAGTTTATACAGGCATCAAGGAGGCTTACAAAGATCAGTCTGAAAAATACAGTGTTTTAAAATCTGATGGTAAAAGATGTGTTTCAGTATCATGAGGGTTTCACTCTATTTCTCAACTAGCAAAAATGTTATGAAGTTGGTAAAATATCAGAATTAGGGGGGGGCAAGATTTGGAGTGGAAGATATCTGTAATTAGTTTAATAAGTGGAAATAAATGTGGTACAGCAGAGTGGAAGCAGGTGAAAAATGACACCAACATTCTCAGAAAAACTGAAGGCAAAAGGCTAGAGATATAAGTACTGGCTGCTGCGGTTTTTCTTGTTGTCAAATACATTAATTCTTACTGGGTTGGAATATTAGAACCAGTGGAGCAGTTTCTAATTTAATGTTCATATTCTTGCAAACCTCATGAACTTCAGAGGGATTGTACACACATGACAGCGATAAATTAATTAAAACCTGGAATTTGAACTGGAAATATTATAGAATGATTAATGGCTTAATTTTTAATTTATAGTTCATAAATAACTACATTTCATGAAGTGGCTGTAATGTGCTTAGTGCACAATGTGCATCTGTTTTTTTTTAACCTGATTTCTTAATAAAACGAGTCTGATGCAATCCTGCTGTTGCTGTCATTCTCCTTTCTAATGGCTTTTGAACTTTGTTGCACATTTCAGCAACATTTAACAGAGAGATATTAGTCTCAAAGCAGTGTAATCATTATGATTTTCATCAATGTAGAAAGCTGGGTAAAGGAAAAAGGTTGTATTCCTCCTTCTACTGAGACGTATTTTTTGGATATCAGAGAACCCATGTGAACATGGAACCACAAGACGCAGCTGTGTACCCAAGAAAGCTGTAGGACATCTGCCTTCTTGCCCTTTACTTGAAGGGTATATCAATAAGGGAGGGAGCAGAGAAGGATGCAAAACATTTAAGAACTTTCTGATCAGAGGAGAGAAAGATCAATACTATGGGGACTGGTTTCTGACTTCATGAAAGTCAAATAACCCTGTGAGGTAAGGCACTGGAAGGCAATGAAAGTGTGCCACTTGGTTTGAGCTGGGTTTTACACTAGTGCTGTCCTGCAGCGTGGCCATGACAAGCAGGCACTTGGCAAGCATGTGAAAGCCCGGAGAGTACTGAACTTGAGCGCAGTTCTCAGTGTGGCTACCTGGGAGGAAACGGAGGGTTTGTGGTGAAAGGTCAATATTGCAAAGTTACAGGATGCTTTAGGGGGAGAAGGGAGAAAAAAGATTCTACCAGTAGGTTTTTGAATATGCACATGAAATGAGTATACTTTAAAGAAGAAAAAATGAATAATGCTGAGCCTTGCTGTCATAAACTAGGGCAGATGTTTACTTCCTAGACACTTCATTTAGCTGATCTTAGTAGATGTATCAGATGCAAAAGTGTTGCTTCTCCTTGCTCCGGCAAATACCGATTTTCCCCATCCTCTCCCTAGCCCAACCGTGGGATTCAGCAAAACAGCTGCTAATCACCCTTTGCCTGTTGGCCTGTCCCTGAATTGCCTGGCTGTCCTACATGGGCAGGAATGCAGAAAAGTAAAGAATTCCTGGGTTAAGATTAACTAATTATCTTAGAAGTCAAATACAATTAAGTGAGATATCGGTAAAAGGGACACGGGCAGGTTCTGCATCCAGCATTGAAACTGGAAGGATCAGACAATGAGGCCAGCCCATATTTCAGTTGATCTCTGTCTGTTTTAAGGGGATGTTTAAGTAAACCAGCTGTGCTTTACGTAGCAATTGGGCAAGTGCTGTCCTTGAAAGGTGCCAGAGAGGAACCAGCTATGCTTTGGCTGCTGTTCTCTTTACCCCGTAGCAACACCAGTAAGACTGGCAGTCCCCAGGTGCCCAGGCGTGCAGCGAGCCCAGGTTTGGGCACACGAGGCAGCTGTGCAGTGTCACCAGCCAGAGCCACGCAACTCTGGGGTCCTGCCAGAGCGAGATGGTGCCTGGCGTGTGGGGCAGGATGCTGGCACAAGAGTGACAAATCCCGTTTCCCCCACGTGACGAAGCTGGGAAAGCAACATGCTGCAATGTCTCCAGCTTTCTGTCATGTAAAGAGGGATCTGTCCTTTTGGGTCTGTAATGTGGTAATGTCCTTAATGTAAGGGACAAATACCAGAGTGCTCCAGACTTTGCTCAAAGCAAAGAGGCTGTGGAAGTGGAGCCAGGGCATTTAATTTGAGGATAATACTTGACATTTCTGGTTTTCCTTGTGCTGTTTGTATGCACTTTGGGCCCTTGTCTGGAAGGGGCCAAGCTGTGCATTGAAAGGCAGTAAGTGCTGGTCTAATGACTAGGATAGATATGGTCATTAGCAAAACTGCTTGCACATAGCTATACAGTAGGGATTTGAGAAACGGGTGGGGGGGTGAGGAGGGAAATTAATATTTTCTTGTTTGTTTGAACTGTGAAGAAACCAGATGTTGAGAGAAACCAGATGAAGAGAATGACTGATCTTGGATATTAAGAATGTGGTGTTTAATGTTTGGCAGTAATTAATATAATGACTTGAAGAACATGCCAGTGGGAAAGATAAATGAGCCCATTGCTGTGTTAGGGAGTCAAATGCTGAACACCACAGCTACCTCCCATACAGTATGTGTGAACGCTGCTGCAGTGTTTTGGCTGTATGAGACAACTATACTCTGCAACACTTTGGGGAGGGGAGAGGAAACACGGCTCCACTTGTTTGTTTTTAAGCACGAGTCTCTGCTTCCCAACAGCTATTCTTAAAGTAATTTATTAGTGGAAGAAATGTTTATTCCATTCTTACAGGAAAGCATTGGGAGAATTTAGATTATTCATCATAAGCTTCAATATCGGCTTATTCAGCTTGCTTTGCTTTGATTTCTGTGGTAGGCACAATAGTGGCACTATTAAAACAGACTTTTTTTTTCCTCTGTAATGTGCTTCTGAAGTGGGTAGATTACTCATGATGCAAATAGATTTTAATTGTGCAAAACCTAGACACCCTGTGCCTTGAAAGGCAGTATCTGATTTGTAGAAGAGACAGTAGAAAACAAGCTTTCACAAGTAAAACTACTGTTGAGTTTTATAAATAGCACCATACTGTAAACAGGTGGCAAATGAAAATGGTTTGGTTCCTCACAGCTGGCAGGTACTTTATTTTCAGGCACGAGGAACTTCTGCATCACCTTCAGATGCTTAGCTTGTCAGAAGTGTTTGTTACCATCTACTGGTTGGTCTGGTCATTTGCAACACTTGTAAAAGCTGAGCATAAATACTGTCAGCAAGCTTTGGCTGTGGCAGAAAATCAGGGTCATGCTTTTATTTTTTGGGTGAGAAGTTGATGCTGTGGTTTGACAGCATGGTTAGCCTAGTTGTAGGACTTCTAGTACCCAATGGCTCAAAGGCCAGTGACAGATAAGGCAGGGTTTGGAATAAACTCAGTCTGGTGGCTTGGTAAATAGATTTTATTGGGTTAACTTTGTACTGTTAGGATTTGTATTGGACCAGACTTGTCTGCCTAAGATACTATGACTTTCTGCACAAAGCCATTGCCTGTCTTGCTGCACCTGGTATAAATATGGCATGTACCCTGAGAGTTTAGTGCTCTGGCTCATTTGGTGGAATCAAGATTCTATGCCAAAGCCCTCTCCAGATCAAGTTGGTACTGTTACATAGCCTAAGGTTTTTCTATTATTTCACTTTTTTTCCACATACTAACTGGTATATTTGATCGTGGAACTGGGGCTTGACAAAGTGAGAAGTTAAACTTGCTCCAGTATGGGGTTTGGATGTGGGAATACCTAATTTCCATTTCCATGCCTTCATGTTTGCCAGACCGATGCTCTGTGTGACCAGCCCTGCTCTTTTCATTCTGAAATTCACTGCAGGATGAAGAGCCTGCTCCCCAGATGGGCTGCTGTACTCTTCTAGTCAAAGCAAACGCGAAACAAAGTCCCTGTAGCCCCCGGCAGCTCTCACTCGGTGCTTGTTAGGAAGAAGTCTGTACCGAGCAGTGGCTTTGAAGGCAGGCCAGGAAGGCATCGTCGGCAGCTCCAGAGGCTCAGCGTGCCATTTACTGGGTGTTGGAGGGCTGAGGCTCCCGTTGCAGTTCAGGGAGAGCAAAGCCTGAAGGTACAGCAGTCACAGTGCAGCTTGTTTACCGACCGGGGCTCGACTGCTTCACTGTGAGTGCAGGGCTCAGTGTTCTTGCCAGCATTAAGTCCAATTATATGATCTTTGTTTGAAGAGAGGTGTGAGATTCATCTTCAGCAAACAATAATCTTCTTAGTGGGCAGTAAATTGTAAATAATGATTCCTTACTATTTTTGGAAGTGGTTTGCACCATCAACAGTTTATTGTGTGAAGACCTAAATGAGGCAGGCTTGGAGAGCAGTGTTTATTGGGTTGGGTTCCTGTTGCTGCAGCTGCAGGTAGTGTCTCAGGGCTCTTGCTTTGCCCTTCCTCAGGGCTTGTAAATCCAATCTCCATTTGATTCTTTTCTTTTCTTTCAGGACAATTATTCTGAGTGACAGCCCTTGCACACACTTCTGAGTGGTTATCATGGGCTTCATTGCCTTTCTGAAGACCCAGTTCATAGTTCACCTCCTCATTGGGTTCGTCTTTGTTGTGAGTGGACTGATCATTAACTTCATTCAACTATGCACGCTTGTCCTCTGGCCCATAAACAAGCAGTTTTATCGCCGAGTAAACTGTCGCCTTGCCTATTCACTTTGGAGCCGTGAGTATTCTTGAAGGGGATGCAAGGGCTGGGGGTGGGGAGGGGAGTGTTTTTTGTTTCTCTTTTTGTTAATTAAAGAAAAAAATATATACATGCTTATATGTATACACACACAGAGACACGAGAGGGAGAGAGAGAAGTGCTAAGTTAGACATAGCCTACTTCAGAGCAGTTCAAAGCAGCCATCTTTTCTGGAATATTGGGAAAACATACAAAAGTCAAGGGACTGAGACATATTGTCACTCTGTTACTCAAAAAAGCGGGGAAGTAAAGCTCCCCCCCACCCTCAGCCCTGTCTTTATTGGCAGGAATTGCTGATTCTGTCTCAATACCATCTTCATCCAGCATCAAAGCCAGTGCTAAGTGATGGGGAAGGGGGAATTCACAGGGGCTGTTTCAGGTACTGAGCATACGTGTGATATTGGCCACTTATTTAGGGGCCCAAGTCGACTGTGTGATCTGCACAGGGGTGTAGATGACTCTATAGCTGAACTGTGCGACAGCTTCGGAGTCCTCTTACACCCTACAGAATCTATCTGAGATGCCACTGTCTCCTCCTGTGAGCAATTTGTTGCTCTTTTCTAATGCCTGTGGGATAGCCCTACAATGAGTGCAGCTGCTTTGCTCTCCTCTTTCAGACCTTTGCAAAACTTCCTCCCAGTGGTTGGCTTTTTTTTTCCTCTTCATACAGTTTAACAGGGGATTAGATTTTTGAAATGAATGTTTAGAAGGCTCCGTAGTCCAAATGTCACCTCCTGTTTCGGCAGTGAATCATCTAATTCATTTCCATTCTCCATCCCCTCCCAGTATGCATGGCCACTTACCTTACTGTTCAGCACAGCATCCAACTCCCACTTTGGATAAATGAGTCACCTAAGTGAGTACTTAAATTACAATTGAGCAGTCCACTGATAGGCACCCACATTTCTTAAATCATCAATGTGAAGTACTACCGACAAAAACTTTCCGAAGTGTCTAGTTCGGTTTCTTTTTCAGCTTGTTGTCCTTGTCCTTCTCGTGCTTTTTGTCCAACCTATTGAGAATGTTGTCTGAGAAGCACAAGAGAAAGGAAGTTGAGTGACAGGGAAACTCTCAGGAGAAAAGATATTGCAATGGAAGAACCTATAGGTAGAAACTTCAGAATTAGCTTGGTTGGAGGGGAGTGTGGATATGAGGGATTTTTTTTTTATTTATTTACTTGTAAGATTTCTTAATGTGCTTTTAATAATCTAGACTCTGATTTCATCCTGAAAACTATTGTTGCACTAATAGTCGGGCTTTTCTGAAGATATGAACTGCCTGTACCTGGAAGGCTTCTAGGTTCAGACATTTGATTTTTACAAGTTAGCATTGTGCATGGAAAAATCACACTTTACATCTTGTATTCGCTGGAAATAGCCTACACTCTTGTCCAAAAAGGTTTGGAGAAGCTGAGTAGATAATTGGGTTGTACCTAGGATAACTCCTTGTGTAGAGCCTACTATAAATAAAATGACTGAGAAATTAAACTATGAAAATTATCATAAGTACATGGGATTGCAGAGTGCTGATGGCCTGTAATGGAAGAGCTGACAGAATATGCACTTCAATTGTGATTTATAGCAAATTAAGTAAGCTGTGTAAATGCAGCAGTTCAAATGTTGTCATTCATAATGAAATATATTTCATTATGTGGAAGCCTTTTGGCAACGAACCTGTAGGTTGGTGTTCTGTTCCGGATGCTATGTTTTGCTCGTTTACCCCAAGCTGTTTAGTTTCAGGCTGAGGGTGTTCATGTCAGAGCCGTCTGTAACAGATGCTGCTCTGTGTGTCTGGCAGAGGATCGGTGTGCTGGGGTAGATACACAGGTGATCTTGTGTCTGGCTATGTATTATAGCCAGACTATTCTCACTGTATCTCTTCTCAAATACATAAAACACAGTATAGAAGGGGAAGGAGATGGACTTTATCTAGTGTTCGTGGCAGACATTTGGGGAAAAAAGTGTCTGTCAGCCTCTGGCCTCAGTGTAAACCCTTTGCAGCGCATGTAATTCATGATGGGTAGTCTGTACTTCAAGCTCTCCCACATCACCTCCTTTCAGATGACTCACACCTTTGAAGAGTGCAGTGCGTTTGGTTTAATCCTGTTGCAAAAATAATCTCTCAAACGTTAGTACTTTGAACTGAGGTGAGCTGTGCCTCTTATTTGCTTTGTTTCTGGGTGGCTTGTGAGGCCATAAACCCACCTGCCTTGGTACGTGGGACCCCTGGCTGCAGGAGGAGTTTTTTGTAGCAAGGTGTTTCTTGTCCTCTACAGCAAGTATCCCAAGCAGTGCAAGTGTTATTGTCCCTTCCTTCAGAAGGATGGGCTTGCTGTGGCATTGGCAGGATCGTTGTCATGCAAAATAGCTGTAACACACTCACCCAAAAAAAGGAAACGAGCCCACTCTCAGTTATAATTACATCATTTATCAGTACTCTTGTGAAGGGGCAATCTGTTTCCTTGTATTAATTCTCTGGCTCGTCAACCCTCCTCTCTCAGTATGAACTCTGGCAAATCTCTCAGCAAAGGTTCCTCCACTATTTAAGAGTGAATGGTACAAGAAATGCTCTGCAGAAAATCATCCACACTTGTCTCTGCAGAACTTTTTCTGATTTTTGAAGAGACACACCCATTTTGTTTTATTTCTGATAAGAAAATGCAATAACTGTAGCAGGTGATGGAGATAGTCTTCCTTAGTACAAAGACAGCAATGGAAAGGGGAAACTGCTTAAAGTACTGCATTGTGTTTGGTACCACTTCTCTGTTCTTCTGACCACCTGCTTGGAAGTGCATATCTCTCAACTGAGGACACTCTTGCTGTCCTCTTTGCCCTTTTACTGAGCCAAGATAACCAGAGCAGTAAAGGTACGTGATCACATCGTTTGCAAAGAAGACAAAACTGGAAAGCCATGATAGAAACCTCTAGCTGGTATAAACTATTATTTTGCCTTTCCTCTGCTGTATTTCCAGTTGACCAGGGTTATACTTTCTTGATCAGCAAGTTGCGTAACTTCGTCACGCCTCCAAATGAGTGAGTCTTCAAAACAGTATAGGGGAATAACCTGGTGGATAAGTGGTCACGTGGGGAATACAGTTGAAAAAAAGCAGTGCTAGAGGAGTTATGTATGTATGTTCAGCAGACCAGGATTGATTTTCCCTATCATTCACCTAAATACTGTGTTTGCGTTCTCTCTGATGTGATGCAATATTGGACCCACTCTTATTTAGCAGTATTGATAGATTACACTGTCGTCATCCCGCTGATCAGAAGCCCTTGTGCACGAAGGCACTGCTCCATTTGGCAAGACCAGGGCCTCCCAGCTGAAAGTTGAAATACTGTGTGGCAGAACCTGATGTAGAGAACTGAGGGGGCACCTTCCAGTTTTGAACCTGTGAGTTTGTTGTAGTAACGTGGGAAGAGTTGGACTTTTGAACGCCACATTTGTGCAAACTAATTTCGATTGTATCCATATCTAATTGAAAAGAGAAAATACCAGTGTCTACAGTTTGCATGGAAGTAAGTCTTCCTACTGGGAGAATGAACTGTTCTCATACTTTTTACAGTTATCCCATGATACAAGCAATACCTTCCATCTGCCTTGTTGTACTGAAATGAGAGAAATAGGCTAACCATAGCAACTACATTCAGTGTATTTTGTACATTCAGGGATTCTGAAGATAAAAAAAGAGGAGGTGGGAAATAAGAAGAGTGGGTAACAAAGGAAATGTTCAGGGTGGAGTAAGAGATGCTGGGATACTGAAAAGCTGAAGATGACAGAGGGGAAAGGCCTCATTCTTTCTTTGCAGTAAAAGAAAGACACGATTTACCATTCCTGTCTTTGCCTGGGTATTTTGATAAATTAGCTTGATTCTCTGGTGCTTCTGACTGACCATAATACAGAACGGTTAGAGTCCTGTGTTCTAATATTAAAATCCATTGCAGAAGATCTATGGCACTGTATCCCTTTAAAAGCCCTTTATTGGTCTATTTACCTCCATAAAGCTTGTTTCATGTTGAGTAAAAGCATTAAATGCATCTATGCATAATTTGTATTCCACCTGGGAGAAACTGTACTCATTTAATGTAGCAATCAACAGCTCAGCTGTCTATTTTCAGGCACAAAGTTCGGGGTTTTTTTTCCCACTGATCATGAAATTTCACATTTATAATATAATGCCCAAACTTGTCACTATTAAAAACTTGCTAAATTATCTGTAATGCATATATCTAGTACCCTAAACACCTCTTAAGGGATGGTGATGTGATTTGGTATATACCCATCCAAGTATTTCATCTCTACTGGGTTGGATTGAAAAGGTGACAGTGTTGTTGGGAGTCAGAAGAGACTAGGCACTGAATGGGGCTGGAGATGAAATGCTAAATGCTTTCTGTAAGTGGCATCCCTAATGTCTGTCTCCATCCTGTTTGTTAGAGTTGGTAATGCTGCTGGAATGGTGGTCAGGCACAGAGTGCACCTTGTTCTCAGACGAGGCCACAGTGAACACCTTTGGGAAAGAACACGTCATCATCATCTTGAATCATAACTTTGAAATCGACTTCTTGTGCGGCTGGACTATGACAGAGCGCTTTGGAGTGCTAGGGGTACGTGGGGCCATGAGCTTTCCCTTCATCTGGAGGATGATAGGTCTCTTTAAAACCCATGCACATACAGTTTCTTTGCGTTTGAGTTTCCAGATATAACTCCGTCAACTCTTTGTCATCTTAACTTTAATGTCTTTGATCTCATTGTACAAATCAGCAAATGACATTTATGATTGTTGGTTTTGTTTTTCTCCAAGAGTTCCAAAGTTCTTGCTAAGAGAGAGCTACTATATGTGCCCCTAATTGGCTGGACGTGGTACTTCCTTGAGATTGTTTTCTGCAAAAGGAAATGGGAAGAAGACAGAGATACAGTTATTGAAGGATTAAAGCGTTTGGCTGATTATCCTGAATATATGTGGGTAAGTGTTGAGTTCTTCCTCTAGTATTGACTGCTAGGAGTGAAATGATGATGGAGGACTTCACGTGGTACTATGTAGCCTTATGTATCAGAAGGTCTGCTCACTACTTTCAAGTGCTGTCGAGGAAAACCTGGGCTCTGTTTCAGGAGGTCTTTTGGGATATGCTGGTAAAGTGTTGCTCTATTTGCCTGTTGGTAAGGGAAGTCATTTGGGAAAATGGTTCAGAAGCTTTCATAGATGATTAGAAGCTTGATGATAATTTGTAAATTGGGCTTGTGTAGTAGTTGTTAATTTTGTCTGACCTTATTTTTACCTAAAAAAAACAACCCCAAAACAACAACGACAAAAAAAACCCAACCAAACAAACAGAAAAAAACAACCAGCCCATATTTGAGTACTAAATCTATATAAACTTAAGCTACATTTTCTGAGGTAGGATAAAGAGACACATAAACAAAACAGTCTTTTCTGGAGAAATAAATGAATTTGGGGAGGGGAGGATGAACAGACCATGGATTTTGATAGGAAGTTCTTGTTAGTATGTTCATTGATCTGTGAAATTACAGGTTTCCCAAAAAGTTGCTATGATAACACATGGCAAACTTACATCTGTTTCTGCAGTTCTGCTTTTCTTTTTTTATTTTGACAGTATTTGAAGTCGAGGGTGAAACATCTATGTTTCGTTATGTGCAATATTGTTCAATTTTGCTGCAGCAACACAGTGGTATAATCATCCTATTAACTCTTTATCTTTGAATGCAAGTGTTTTGATAAGTTGGTTTGCTTTTATAGCAGTGCCTGCGATGTACAATTATTTGTCTCATAAAACATTTTAAGAGGCTTTTTGTACGTTTTAAGTGATTTTTCAGTATTATCCAATACAGCTTGTTAAAATTGATAGTGAAATAGTAAGCCTTAACTAGTACATTGTGAATGAGTCATTTGTGATTTTTATATCATTACAAAGTTATCTGGAGAATGTATTTTAAACTACTTAATTGCTTGAATATGTAGATATGAACTACATTTAATATATCCTCCTGATTAGTGTTGAAAAAAAGAAAAAAAACACCAATTAAAAAATCTCAAGACTGTGCTTTAGTTGCAAATCTATACATTTTAATGATTTTACAATTGAGAACCAAGGACTAGTCTCTAGGGAAGACAACTTGAAAATATAAATGCAAAACATCTTTGGCATTGATTATTTAAATCAAGGCTTCCTGCTTGGTAATTTAAGTCATGATTAAAATTGACTCGAGTAAATCAGCTTCCTAATTTTTGTGCATCCTAAATGCCACAACTGGGGCTGTCTGCGCAGCCTTCCCCTGTGAGGTCTTCCCCACACGTGCACCGCAGCGTAGTCGGTACCTCACTCACAGCCTCGGTCCAGAAGGGTCACTGTGCCATTGCGTCGAAGACGGTGAGAATTTGGTATGGAGGAAGGATCTTGCATTGCAGACTGGGGTTGAGACTGCGGTGTTACACTCCGTGCCCTGTGCTGTCCTCACAGCTTGATGGTGGCGGTCACGTTTTCATAATGAACGTACCTGCCCTCAAGGGCCAAAGGAAGATTGCAGGGCCAATTCCTGTTCTCTAACTGTGCTCTAGCAGGTCTTACTCTTGTGTCTATGTCTTTGTGGTTTTAACATACATTTAACTTACCTGTTGTGGTGCGCAGTACGTGGATACACTACAGAGGAAAAAGTTACGCAGCCACGGTACTGGCGAAGAGCAGATGTATAGTGATGCATTTGACAAGTCTGTCTTTTGAATTGCAGCATTGCATGATACTGCTGTGAGTAGTAGCAGCTTGTCCTTCTCCCTCTCCATTGCTTGCCTGGGATGCAGAGGTTTGGGCGTTCAAATGCCGTAATGGTTCCATTGCTGGTGCAATGGGAATGATGTCCACCCGTGCAAAAAGGCCAGGGATAATCAGAAATTTACCCTAGGACCCTCAGAAGGGCTTTGTCTGCTCTTGGCTTTGCATTGCTTCTGGTATCTCAACCAGAGCAGAGGCAATACAGAGGCTGGAGAAGGACAGATCAATGTTTTTTGCTGCTTGAAGTCAATATGGGAGGATTTAAGTCTTTGACTGTGGTATTCTGAGCAACTGTTAGACTAGTGCCTTACAAGATGAACAAGGTAAAGGTCTTAGGGAAGGGGACCATTTTTGATGAACGCAACTGATACAAATCAGAAAAGCTTTCAGACAAACAAGTCAGTCTGTCTTCAGATGAGTAAATGAGGTAGCTAGTGATTAATATGTTTTTCTCCTAAAGTGGTTGTATACCAGTATTTGAATTGCTTTTTCTGATTTGTAGATCAGTCCATCGCCAGCCAGCCAAAGCCAAAGGATTTTTCTTTTTTTAAGTAAATATTTCAGGTATAACCATTTAGACTTCTTATTGCCTTAAATTTGGTACCAGTGTTGTTAAAATTAAACTGTAAATGAGTTGTGAGGTGGTGCTTATGCCTACTACCTGATGACCAAATGAGACAATTTAAACTTATGCGCGTGCATTGGAAGCATGTTTATCTCAGACAGATTTTTCAGTATTCTGCTTGGCTTATTGTGATCTTAAGATGTCCTTGCTTTTGCCTTTTGTCTCATTGTACTAGTTTCTCCTGTACTGTGAAGGAACTCGTTTTACAGAGACCAAGCATCGTATCAGTATGGAGGTAGCTGAGTCCAAGGGGTTGCCTAAACTAAAATACCACCTGTTGCCCAGAACCAAAGGCTTCACCACTGCTGTCCAGTGTCTCAGGGGAACAGGTATTGGCATGCTGCTCTTTGTGCTTTGCGTTAATTGTAATACATTGTTTAGTGTACTCTGTGTAGCACAGGGTAGTATACTCTGCTGTTCATTACATCCATTACAATTAGTGAGTTGGCAGTAATAAGCCTTCAGCATGTCAACTGTTAATTTGTAAATTGCCACATAACTCTCAGATACTGGTCTTAAAAAATCTTCAACCTTTCAAGTATGCCATTGTTGCTTAGTTCATCAAGTCTTCTTGTGTTTTGATAATGCACATGCTACATAGGTAGGAATGTCAGGTGGCTGATACCGATAAATACAACATGTAAACACAAAGTAGTGAAGGACTCTGCTACCTGACATCATTAATGCAAGGCTTGCACAAGGCTCTGTTGCTGTCTAATGCAAGGATGGATGCTGTCAACGTGGTTGCTAGAATTGCTGCTATAACAGCCATATTTTCTTTTTTGCAACAGTTTCAGCAGTGTATGATGTAACACTAAATTTCAGAGGAAACAAGAACCCGTCTTTATTAGGAATTCTTTATGGAAAGAAATATGAAGCAGATATGTGTGTAAGGTGAGCATATAATGATGGAGGTGAGCCCTAAGATGCATGCTTTGGCTTTTCGAAGTGTATTCAGATTTTACAGGGAAATGTCCTTTCCTGTGGTCCCCTTTTCCTTGTCCTTCAGGTTTCTCTGAAGTCCACAAAGACCTCTCTGTTTCCCCCCTGCTTCGTGTGAGATCCCATGATATCACCCAGCAAGTCAGAGAGCACTGGACAGACTTTTTAAGCCTGGGTGTGACCACGCTGTCGTTCAGGGTTTCCCTGTTTTGTGCAACAAGGACACTTGTCTGCCTTTTTCCCTTCTCAGCTGGGAACAGAAAACCAACTGTTCTGCTCCCTTCCCAGTCCCCCGCAAACATATGCATAGCACACATAGCCTGTCCAACTTCACTAGTCTCTTCTAGTAAATAGTGTAAAGCTCCTTACTGTGCCAGTTTCTTTCCTTCTCTCACATGGTTTGATTAGCAGATTAGAAGTTAAATAATGCTGAAATTCAGACATTGTATGAATAAGGTAGGACATTCCTCACATTCCTCATTTTTCTTTTGCCTGAAAGAGTAACTGCTAACACTTAGCTCCGTGCAGCATGTACACACATGCGTGCGCGCACACACACACACACACACACACTTTCTTTTTCTTGCTTTCTCCTTGCTGCCTTCTGCTTTAAAGGCTTCCTTGTGATCATAAAAACTACCAACCCTTTCCTACTGAATTTCTTCTTTTCCTCTATTGTTTGGATCTGACAGATGACCTGGTTGTTCTTTCCACAGTTCTTTTGACAGTTCACTTCTGCTTCTCCAGGGACTTCACACACACTTTGGAAAACATTGCTACATTCTGGTGATGAGGTTGATGTTTGATTTTTAAAAGGAAAAGAAAAAAAAAAAAGTCTTGCTACTTCCCCCCACACCTTTCCCTTCTGGCCTGGGGTCTGTTTATGGCAGATGCATGGACCTGGCTCTGTACACTGTCCTTCTAATGAAGGCAAGTGTGTCTTGCCAGAGCCTTCAGAAGTAAAAGAATTTGTAGGGAATCACGCTGATTTAGCCATTGTGTGGAGCTACAGCAGCAACAATTTTGTGGAAGAAGTGGTAGCCCAGGGGAGGCAGTATGCTGCAGCCCTAATGGGGGAAGGGAGGGACATGTGTTCCAGTTCTGTTCTCAGATACGGCACCTTCCACAACATTTTAGTCTTTCTGTTGGAAAGAAGGCTGCTGAGGTGGTGGTGGGAGAGCTGGGGTCACTCATTTGCAGGGGGTTTAACTTTGACTGTTTACACTTGCCAGACGTATTTCCATATGAGGAAAGTAAGCAGACAATTTACCAGCTGGCAAAACTGCTGGTCGGGTGGTTGTCACCTCTAAGTCCATACTGATGGCAGACGCGTGTAGTAGCATGTCTGGCTAGATCTGGGGTACACGGGCATGGATGTACATCTGTATAATTGAAGAGCAGCTGCATTCAGTTAAATATGGCTTGCTAGTGGAGATATAAGTTGGTTTTATTTATTGGTGAGGTAGTGGGAGGAAAGGAGAGAAAGGTAGTTTTCAATAGTCATTACAAGAGGTTTGGGTTCATAAAATTCTGTTGTGGATGATGTTGACAGGTAAAATTGCTAATTGTACCCTACTAAAGAAACTAATTACTATGTTTAGATAATTTTGATTTAAAATATGTTTGTAGACTGAATCAACATTCTCAGGATGCTTTTCTACACTTGAAGCTTTTTCTCTATTTCGGAGAGGAAGCTATGAGAATAAGGAAACTGTTTTTACAGTCTTGCTGAAAATTGACTGTGTCCTTAATGTGCCAGCAGACTTAGCTTAGCTCAGAGAAAGGAAGCACATAAGCTCTTGTTCTTGGTATATGCATGTGCAGTTACCTGTGCAGTGGTAAGAAGCTTAGCTCTCTGCAGAGGATCCAGTCTTTCTCCTGACTGGCTTCAGAGAAAATAATCCACTAAATTACCAGATGTTGTTGCTGTGACTACCCTCTAGTGGTGATAGCAATACAGCGGCAACTTTACCAGAGAGCCTTCATCAAATAAGTTTTTACTGAGCTTTTATTGAATGTTACTGACATTAATTGAGCAGCTCCTCCTGTTAGAGCTAATGAAAGTAAAACTGTAAAATCTGGTCTTCAATTTGTTTACGGGATGCATAAATTTTTAGAAATGTTAGAATATCTTCCATCTGCTGCAGACCCGAAGGCTTTAGTTTGTACTGTGGAAATATATTCCCTGGCTGAGCTGCAACAAATAAATTTTATCTGGAATCACTGTGGCTAGAGCCCTCCCAGGGGTCACCCTTCTGTTGTTACTGCCCTGCTGTTAGAGGGCCCTGATACAGTCCCAGTCTTGCCAAAATCTGTTCCAGCTGAGGGTAAGATGTGTGCCCACCCACTACGAACTGAGCAACTTCTTTCTGAATGGATCCAGGACTGAGATGTGTGCCCCTGAGGAAGGAGACAATACATTTGTGAGCATGTTCGTGGCCTTTCTCAGAAAATAAAACAATGCAGGAAATAAGCTTTTCACCGCTAGAAGAAGGTTCTTAAAAGGTGCCTGTTCTCGGTGAGGTCAGGTCAGTCCCTGGAGCTGGACATAATTTTTCCATGCAGCTGGAACTGCATGCATCAATCTGTAGGGCTGGAGAGGCAAGGAGAGAGAATTGCTGTTGATGTGGAAGATGATGCTTTCCTTAGACTTGGTATGGTGAATTTTTAGCCACCCTTCCCATTCCTTCCAAAATGGGGTTTTCACTAACAAAATGTAACAAACAATTACCCTGGGGTTTGCCACTTGCTTGTCTTTTCCCAGCTCTGGATGCCTCAGTCAGAGCCCACTGGGAATCAACCGTTGGCAGTTCTGATGAAGGAAGAACGGTGTTTCAGTGAGAAATGCTTGTTTTACTAAAATGCTCTGAAATTGGTAGGAGCTTGTGCAGTTTATTTTGTCTTAGGAACTGGAGTTTTTAGGTGGTGAATCAGGTATTATTTAAGTCCCAGTTTTTCTTTTGCATTCAAGACCTCTGCCATCAGTGTCAGTATTACCTGTAGCTTATGCCCTTCATTGAATGCAAGATCTTCCCTAGTAGAGGTCTAAAGTCAAATACTTGGGATTTTTCCTTAATTTTTCTTTTTTTTTTTTTTTTTTTTTCTTTTTTCTTTTTTCCCTATTTTAATCCCTCTTCTAAACTAGGAGATTTCCTCTGGAAGATATCCCTCAAGATGAAAAGGAAGCTGCAAACTGGCTTCATAAGCTTTACCAGGAAAAGGTAAACAGCTTTGCTTTCCTTTCTCTCATTTGGGACTTTCACAGGGGTAGTGTATTAAGGCACTGAGCAATGCACACTCTTCCACTTGATGGAGTCAAGAGACAGAAATACTATGTATATTTAGGCAGGCATCCCTCCAACTGCTGGAAGGAGCAGTACAGAAGAGCCACTTGGCCGCAGAGGGCTGGCCAGTGAGTAGGTCTCAAATTGCTGGGAAGCACAATGGGATGCAGAAATATGCCTGAGTTGCGGAAGACTAATAGCAGTCCACTGTCTTTTTATATTCTTCAGCTCTTGGGTCTCTGTCATACATTTCTAAAAGCTTCATTTTCCCTGTGGGTGTTTTTAGGCACTCAAGAAGAGTGTTAACTGTCAGGGACAGCTGGTCCCAGCTCTTAGCTGCAATTGGCCTTTGCTTCCGTGTTTCTTCTGCTGTCACTTTCCTTCTGCCTCCTGGTAATACCTCTGCAGTGGTGTGACATGGTACAGACAGTCCCCGGGATCTGCTGCCACGGACTGATGTAGCACATGGCCAGCATGCCTTCAAACGGCTGAAAGCTTTTCCTTGTGTCTCTTCTTTTTTTGCCTTAGACGGTTAATTTCTTGACCACAGATTTAACAGTTATGTGGGGAGGAGGAGAGAACTGTAATTAATGTTGCCTAGCCCTAATTGGTCGGTTGTTGAACTTGAAATGTGTATTTTGATTTTTGTGCGGCTCGTCTTTGTGGGAAAACAGAGGAGCACAGAAATTTTAACTATCTTGGGCTTTTTTCTGCTATGAGGACCTGTGCTGCAGCATTTCCAAGCTTATACTTAGTCTGTAGGTAGGCAACAAAGTGTTCTGAGTCTCATTTTGTTCATTTTAAACTTGAATACCTAAGCTCTAATTCAATTAGGGGGAGAGAAGTTATTTTACAAAGAGCAGTGGCTATTATCATCTTCTCCCCCCACCTCCCATTGGCAGGTGTATCAGACTAGCTTGTGGGTCAGTTAGAGTAATACGGGATTAGAGAGCTTAAAAATAATTTTTAGAAAATTGGGATCCTTGCATCGTGGCCTCTGCTATCAGGGACATGTAATTCCTTTGTGAAAAAGCTCTTAGGTGCAAGAATTCCTTCTGACATTGCCTGGCTGGAGGAGCAGACGTTAAGGTGTATGTTACTGGGGTGGTCTTTCTCTGCTTGGCTTCTGCTTTGTTAAGCAGTGGGTGCAGAGCTGAGCAGATGCAGCACAGAGCACTCGCTCTACTTGGCACCATTCCTCGGGCAGAACGCTCTGCTTTGCTTGCAGGTGGAGGGCTTGGTGTTCCTTGCTGGTGTTGGCTGTACCTCCGCTCAACTTTGGTGTGAGGTGCTGCCGGGGAGGTATTACTTACACGTGTGGGTATTTTATATGTTGATCTTATGGTGGTAGCAATACGCTGTAACTGGAATCCTTAAAGTGCTCTTCCCGCACAGAGGGTATGTCCTCACAAGGTTGTGGTGTCAGTAAAGAACACCTTACACTCCTCAGCCCATTATAAGGGAAACTAAAAGAAAAATGGTGTAAGTGGGGAAAAATAAGAAATAGCCAAACTTGAGCCATCCTTGGTAATGGCTTGGGAACCTTACAGAACATCCCTTACAAACTGAGGGAAGATTGTGGGCATGCTGCTCCTTTGAGTGACGTGTTTCATGGTTGCCTCTCCCTGTGGGCTCAGCTCAGGATGCAGCTGCTCTGTTGAAGTCTTGGGGTAATGGCTAGCACAAAGCTGCCTCTGCTGGTTAGCTTGTGGTCGCCTTCCTCTTCTGGCTGTATATACAGCGTTTTTCTGCTATGCATTTATTTGCTTAATCATGCTGTGCTTTCTGGAAGTAAAAATGGGAAGCAAAAGCATTCAGCAGAGAGGCAGGTAGTATCTGAATTGGCCTCTGGCCTGACGCTTGCCTAAACTCCTAAGCAATTAAGAGAAGAGATGAAGGCATTTGGTAGTGGAGAGGCTGATATCATTTCAGTTTCTGATGGTGGCCAAGATTGCCTTCAAAGGGCTAATACGGTAGCCTTGGCAGTCGACAGAAATGCCCAAATAAATGACAGTGGGTGGAAATGGACTCTGTGTACTCTTGATGGGTATTTACCACAGATACTGTCCTTGACATTGTCCTGGAGTTGACTAGTCTTGGATTGATTGGTGCTGACATTATGAACGTGTTTTCTTTTATCTTGTCTTTCCCCCAGGATGCTTTACAAGAGATGTATAATCAGGAAGGTATATTTCCTGGCCAGCAGTTTAAACCTCCTAGGAGACCGTGGACTCTCCTAAACTTTCTTTTTTGGGCCACAGTTCTCCTCTCCCCTCTCTTCACATTTGGCTTTGGAGTTTTTGCAAGTGGATCACCTCTTCTTATCCTTGCATTCCTAGGACTTGTTGGAGCAGGTAATAAAAGCAGAGAAGATGCTACACCCAGAGTGACATGTAACAGGATCCACTACGTCCAATTAGTTCTGTGTATTAATTACTATGAATGGGGCTTGCAGAAGAGTAATTGGAGCTCACTTTGTAGTCTTTATACTGTATAGCATTTTTATTAATTCAAAAGCTTTAATTCAGGAAGGTTTGCCTTCGTATCTCAGACAATATCAATAGCAATCAATAGCAGGTGAGTCTTGCAGCCCATTATTATGGTGTCTGAAGGAGAAAATGCTTTTACTGCATACCTTGACTGTGAATTAAAAAAACCACAAAACCAAAACAAAAGACAAAAGCAAACAAACAAAAAAATACAAAATCCCCAAGCCCCGCCCTCCCCCCAACCAAAAAACCCTAACAAAAAAAAAAAAACAAAAACAAACCAACCAAACAAAAACAAACAAACAAAAAAAATGGGGGAAGTGATATGCTTCAGTGTTCACACTAGCTGCCCTGTTAATCAACATAGAACCATTAATTATATTTTTAAACCTGGATTGTCCTCCTCTTTTAGTGACATCTGACCTGTGATCCATGTGCAGCCTCATGCAGCGCACTGTTGGTCTATAGTCACTGCTGTCCTCAGAACTGGTTTAACTGTTGTTGGTTCTGCTTGTCTGTTTACATGTAACTTCTAAATCCCTGAACTGGTTTTAATATGCCTCCCATTTCTCTGTTGTATTTTAAAGCTTCCTTTGGAGTTCGTAGACTGATAGGAGTAACTGAAATAGAAAAAGGCTCCAGCTATGGCAACCAAGAATTCAAGAAGAAGGAATAACTGACAGCTGCAGTCCAGCACATATAACCAGACTATGGTATCCAATTAACTTCAGTTACAAACCAACAACAAACACTTAGAAACTATCTTTTTCTTAATAACTGATGACTAATATTAATGAATAAAACTTGAGCCAAGAATGAAGAAGTTGGAGGCATCAGCTGAAGAGAACGCATCAACTTTCTGCCTGTTTAAGGATTACTGTAGTCAAACTATGGGAGAAAATCTGGGGTGGGGCGGAAGAAAAAACTTAATTTTTCTTGCTTTGTTGGGGGACTTGGGGGTGGGGGGAAAAAAGAGGGCATTGGCCATGGCCATGTGCATCTTCAGATGACTGAATACACTGGTTTCTGTCAAGAGCACTACACTCACTTTTACAACAGGAGCCACTGAATGTTTCCTCTTGCTAAAGCCAACGTAATCTTTGTTGTTTTCCAACTTTTTTTATTAATGAGCCAGGAAAAAAAACCCTTAAATTAATTGACAGATTTTCATTGGGTTGGAGTAATTTTGAGAAGGCTGTGTTGTCATGGCTGCAGTTGAAATCCTATTTGTATGTTACACTGACACTTTTTATTTTCAGGCAATGTCCTAAAACTTCTGTAATGCGAGCGAACGGCTAGTGGAGTTTGGAAGCGGTGCGTGATTGATCAGCACATACCGTAGAACAGATCCACTAGTATTAAAACGGTATAAAATTCTCATATCTGCTGCCTACTGCTCAAGGCTGTTTAATTTCAAAATATTACTTCAGTCTTGAGTGTTGTTTGCCCTGTTTCACATCATACATGTATGATAATCTTTAATCTGTTTGGGCTGGGTTTGTTTTCTGAATTAATGGTGACCATGGGATTTGGGAGTTGTGCAAAGAAGGAAATTTATTCAACTGTTGTGACATTTGCTCCTTTTATTTCTGTTTGCATCTCTCATCACCGAAGTCCAGGTTAGCCAATCTCTCTCAGTAAACTGGGAGGCAGCAGCAGAAATCAGCACAATAGTATTCAAAACGTCTGCTTTTACAGAAATTTGAAGAGAGGTCTGTAGCAATTGGATTTTGAATACTGACATCTTTTGAACTTTTAATGAGAGTTTCGACATTGATTCAAATGGGGCCAGGATCTTACCCTGTGTGCTGTAATGTTAGGGTGTGCTGCACTTTCTACCTGGTTGTGCTTTAGATGTTAACGTGAAGTATATTGCAAGGTGAGCTATGCTGTTAAGCATTAGAAGGAGTATGGAATCTCTTCAGGGATTTTAAATATCTTTAGTTTTGCTTTTTGACCTTTTGGGGTTTTTCCACTGAAAATTAGAGATCAGAATCATGGCTGTACCTGTGTCTTTTTTTTTTTTTTTTTTTTTTTTGTTGTTGTTTTTTTTTCTTTTTCACAAATGCACATTCTGGGATTTTTGTAGATTGCTGCTGTATGCATAGCTGGAGAACTATTTGCCAACAGATGGAAACTATCTGTATGTTCAAGTCTGAAGGCCCCAATCTGCATTTGGCTATGCTCAAAAGTTGGTGAAATGGGTTGTAGATCTACAGCTGAGGGCAGAAACTGACCCTCGGGGTCTGTATTTTTAACCCAGCTGCCACTAGAATATTTATCTCATTTTTGTAAAGAGCAGATCTTATAAAAGCACTGGTCATTATTTTCATCTTCGCTCTAGTAACCAAGATAAGAGAGTAATAATTTACCTTCTTTCCATATTTACTCTAACTGTTGGAATGTAACCTCTTCTTCCACAGGTTTTTTTGTTTTCAAACACTGGAAGAGCAATTTTGTAACTTAGAAAAGTATTTTACTTGGGGTCATTAATCACTGTTCTGTCATGCACTTGATTTTTTATTTGTGGTCTTTTCAACAAAAGGATCTGAAGGGTGACCTGCGTTGTCCGTCTCCTGTTAGATTCATCCTCACTGAATCATTGTACCCGTAGCCCCAGCATTAGTATGTCGTTTTGTCCCCTCAATAAATCTTCCCTATGATAGGGAATGCAAAACTGTTGTTAATGTTAGTGGAATTTGGAATATGCTTTGGGAACTGAGGAGAACAGAGCCTAGCCATCATGACCCTGTTTTCTTTTTCTTTGCTGGATGTTTTTGTATTTTGTCTTTAAGTACGGTTAGACTTCCAAATGCTGATAAAGATAAGTCTCTGACTTTTCCCTGTTTTTTAACTGGAGGACTAAAAGCAGTGGGCTTTTCTTTATTTATTCTTTTTTTTTTTTTTTTTTTTTCCTTAAATAATTCAGTAATGGTTATAGTTCTTGCTTCTTAGAAAGACGTTACAAAAGCTGTATACTTGCTTCCTGGAGATGATATTGAGTATATATAAATTGTACTGGTTAGCAGAGTGAGGCTTGCAAAGCAGGCTCACCATTGACTACGTTTTATACTTATATTTTGGGCAGTATATTAATGGGCATGACAAGAATTTCACAAAGTAAATCCCTTCTTAATGCTGAGAAGAGGAGAGATGCTTAAAGGAGAAGGGAATTAATAGCCTTTCTCTTTACGGGATGCTTTTCTCCTCTTAGTGCATGTAACTCCCTATTCAGAATCATGGGATTAGTGCATGTACATCAAGGGGAGAATAATCAACATTTCATATTTTCTTATCATAACTTGTTGGTCATGCTTTCTTTTTGAAAATATAATAAATACATCATCAGTTACTTAAATTTTGCTATTCTAAACAGACATATCAGTAACCATTTTGAAAACTTAAATATACAGCAATGCACAAAACAGTACTACACCAACACAAATCTCTTCATTTTGAATTTTATCTCCTCAAATAGGAGTTTTTATACACGCACACGTACATGAAGTATGTATAAATTAAAATGACTGGAACTAGCTGAAGTTAATGAAACTAATGAAGATTAGCAGGTGGCTTGGATTGGAAAAGTGAGCATAGATTTTCTATCTTATTTTCTTCTGGTTTAATAGAACATAGCTTGTATATTTGACTACCAAGCCCTTTAAGAGCAATAATAAACAAAAATATATCATGTTTTTGGTCTTTTGCTTTTCAACCATGCTAGGTTTAATAAACTTAAAGCTATAGGAGCCTTTTCTCTCTCCACTTTTCAAAACTTTCATTTATTGCTTGATTGTTTAAACTGCATCCCATGTTCTCCATTATGGACTTGCAGGCTGACTGCCATGGAGTCCAGCATTGACTCCAAAGATGAATGGTTCTTAGACTAATATGGACAGATGCTCTGCTCTTGGCCTTGGCAGCACTTGTCGTTGTTATGAAGAATAATGATGCTGCTCTCAAAGTGGGATTTGCAGTTCCAAGGTAGCATCACGTTGACTTCTGTCTAAGAACCTGGTGGGAGAGCTTGGAGACTGCTGGCGTTGTGGCATCTCTCGGTTAGGAAGGCACAAAAAGCTGATGCTGAAGAAGGACTGGATAACTGGTGTCCAGAGGTCTTGGCTCAATAGGGAACACAGTTCTCTGTTGCCCATTGTGGCGGAATGTGCTCTTGCAATTGACTTTGCGTCACTGAGCAAAATATCTCTCTGGCACAAAAAGCATGGGCAGGGTTCCTTTGTTCTGCTTTAACTTATCTTGAAGGGCTCTACACTTAATTCCTGACCAATGAATATGATTACTACCTTTGTCCCAATTGCCTAGTATTCACAGAAAAAGTGAGTGTGTTTGCTCACTTCTGCGTGATACCACTTGTCTCCGTCACTGATGTCTGTGTATTTGCTTGCCTGTATTTTCTGCAGATGGTTTAGTTACAACCTCATAGCTGGAACTTGAGCTTTCCAGTTCAACAAGTCCTATAGAAATTGTCTCACATAGCTGGGGTTTTGTGTTCCTGCATTTTGGCGCTGGTTGACGTCCTGAAGTGACACAACTGTGTTTAAGTTGTGTTAAACAATAATGCACCTTCGCTGCTTCAGAGCAGAACTCGTATTAGGTCCTTCCCAGGCCTGCTCGTGAAGGCCATCACTACCTGGTAACAGGTCCCTCTGGCATTGATGAAACCAACAGAAGGGAGTTGGGACAAGGTCTTCACTAACAGTTGGAGTAACTAGCAAGTCGGGGTCACTGTACATCTGATAATTGCTAAAGGTGCTGTTTCTGCCTGGGACTACCCCAAAATCTGGTTTTGCTTCATTTATATTTTTATTAAAGGAATGTGGGGTTGGAGGCTTTTAGTAATGCTGAGTTCACACTATGTAGAATGTTTCAGATTGAAGAAAATACGTATTTTGGCATCTTGGAGAAGTATGTATTAAGAAGTCTAAGGCCAAGATTGGACAGACCTCACCTAAGTGTGTTTTGTTCAGATGCTGGAGGCCAATGCAGATAAGTGAAAAATCCATTCCTACATTTCCTTTGAAAATTGGATGCAGCGATGTAGCTCACAGCATCTCCTGGATGCCCACGTGCTTATGTCACTTAGTGTGAAGTTTCTAGTTCACAGCCGACAATGACTACACGTCCTGGTTTATGCCTGTGGGAAGAAGCCCATCCTCATAATGATAACGCTCAATTTGTAACTTTGACCCAGTTTGTCACAGCCACTTGTTTCCCTGTTTCTGAACCTTTTGGTCCGTATTGGGCTGCTCCAGGGCTGCCAGCGCTGAGCGAAGCCGGGATTTGAAGCAGGTGACAGCCATGCTGAGAGCTGCAAGTGCATCGCTGAAGGGAGGAGGAAGCACAAGGGGCATAGCTGGAAGGAAGAGGAACACCGACAGGTCCAGCCAAATTCCAGCCCTGAGAAAGCTGAGCAATTGCCAGGAGCTTTGCAAAGCAGAGATCAGTGTGTATGTGCGCAGGCAAACTCTGACTCCAATATGAATGTGAAGCCTCCCCGTGACAACTTAGAAGGCAACCATGTTCATGTGATTGGGGTCAGAATTTGTCTTAAAGGCTTGTTACAGGTGGCAACTCTTACTCTGCCATACTTCCCCCTGTTTATCTTGAAGACTGGTTTATCTGATGGTCTCGGCAATCTCTGCATCAAGATCCTTGCACGTTCTTGGTTGTGGGTTTTTTACCTGCTGTGGTTTTGAGGGAAAACTTTCTGAAGTCAGTGTTGGCTGGTGTGTGCCACCTTTGGTAGCCACCCGAGCACGTCCTGAAAATATTTCACAGTTAGGGAAGATAGTGGATTGGCATCTGTAAGCCAAACACGCTGTGTTTCTCTTCTCCTTGGCCTCTCTAAGTTTAAGGAAAGCTGCCTGGATTTCTTAAAATGTCATACTTGTAGTTACAAGCCACTCTTCAGTTTTTGAAACTGTGAAGAAAGTTAATTTGTGCACTTTCACTGTTGAGAGTCCTTCAGCGCAGCTGATAGTCTATTTCTAAAAAGCTTTACATTAGCTGAAGCAGCATTTTATCTTTTTAAGAGGAAATGTATTTCAAAATAAACACTTTAGCAGAAATGGGAATGTAATAGTACTTTTAAAACCTAAATTGGAAGTATTCTTTAGCGTGGGGGCTGCCACTACCAGTTTGCAGTCTTACACAAGGTTGTGTGTTTTATTTTGGCCAATGTGCATTTTCAAGGAAAACACACCAATTGCCTAGTCACACTAAACTCTGATTTGCAAAGGGAGGAAAGAGTGGGCAGCAGAGGCTAATCGGGAATTAATTTCCCCCCCCCCCCCCAAGGCATGAACTGGTTCTATGGACCTCCTTTATTACGTGCATGTGCATCAAGAGCCAAGCTGTGTCCTTTCGTATTATTTTGCTTCAGCTTTGTCCGAGCTGTACCTTGTGGCAACTGAATGCTACTTGCCTGAACACTAGGCAGCCACTGTCAGCTGGCGTGTCGCGCTCTCCTACAGATCACCAGCAAGTACTGTAGCTTTAATGAAAACCTCTCAGAAAACTCACCGTCCTTAACCTGATTGATTTGTTACAAACTTGTCATTTGGAGGGAAGTGTAGGTACCAGATGATCATTATTAGCCAAATCTAACAAGTAATAAAACTGTATACAGGGTACGCATTTACTGTGCATGTGTATATATTTTTGTACATTTTTACAGTTCTTTCCTACACTTGATTTTATGACGTTCAGAAGAGATGCATCTGAATCTGGTTAAAAAGCAAGAAGCTGTTAAGAAAACCCAACCCTGTCACCTACTGTAGTTTCTACTAAGAACTGTGCCCAAACAAATACGCAGATTTACAGTGCTATGCAAATATTACTTTGTAAGTTGTCTCTTACATTTTGCTTAAGTAGTTCATGCAGTTTTTACTGGGCTTTCAGAAAAAGATTAACACAAAAGACTCATCTTGTAAAATAAAATAGCTTTGGCTGTGTGAAAGTACTGTATATTAGAATCTCATTCACGCTTTCAGTTGCTTATTTTAACTGTATGTGATTTTGTGCATAAGATGCTGGCATAGAGGGTTTTTTAATTGTGCTTGAATGAAAAAGGGTGACTGTCCGGCATCTGTTTTTTTGGCAGTGTTACAGAGTAAGTAGCTGATAATGTAACTGGGAGACCTACATCCTTTTCCTATTTGCCACTCTGGTTTTTGTAACTAAACATGCACTAAGGGCTATTTCCTTTTTGCTTTGGTTGGTTTTATTCTCATCTGTGCTTTTTAGTCTCAGTCCTGCAAACCGATCCATGCGAGGGCCACGTGTCTGCAGCCAATAATCTGGGTGGATTGTTTCGTGGCGGCTGGGAGTTGACAGAACAAGCTTAACCCTGCGGCCGTTCCCTGCACTGTGCCAGTTGTGGAGAACTGTGGAGGGACAGTGCATTACCGTAGCGTTTATAGAAGCAGTATGTAAAGTTTTGCATGGCTGCTCCAAATGACCAGGATGGGAGGGAGGGGTGTTCCTCTCCTGAAGAATCCTCCAAAGTAAACCCAAAGCTGTATGATCTAAGAAGTTGAGACTCCAGCAGGGTAAGCTGGCTGTGTGGATAGATGCTGTAGATTAAACCAGTTTTTCAAATCTGACATCTTTTAAGTTTCTGTTTTTCACTGGGAGATAAAGACCTTCCCCCTTCCAGAGCTGTACACCAACATCACACACTCCCCCTCGAAAGCAAGCCAAGACCCACTGGAAGATCACTTGGCATTTTTGCTCCTTTCCCCATATTTTTATCAGAAGGCTGCCCAACAGAAGTAGATCTCTACAATTTCTACCTCTAGTATATCCCTGGCCTGCCTCTGTACCTGCTCAGTCCCATAAGACATCAACTCTTTTTTTAGGATACTTGTGCCTGTGACAAATGACAGGCATGTAATAATGCCATGTTCCTGTGTCACCTTTTTGCTAGACTGCAAGCACTGAATTACTGGTTTCTCCTATAGGTTTTCCCTTCCCTGAATCTTTGCTCATTTGATTATTCCAGGTTGTGCTGAGCTGCTTTAAAATGACAGGTCTGTTTCTCCCTGTGTCACTGTATGGGGCAGTCCTTTTTTGTTGAGAGGATGGTCTCTGACTCTAAGGGCATGCAAGCAGAAACTTCTCTGTTACTTTTCTAGTTTGCACAAATACAGCTTTTCTTATCACTCTGCCTCTGTTGGATCTCCTCAGATTCATCATTCATTTTTAAAGGCCGATGACTTTGATCTGGAATTTTTAATGTTCTGTTCCAGGACTATTTTTTTAGGCTCTATGGTGTAAACTATGGGTTGAAGTTTTTATCAGTACAGCATAATGAAGACTTCATTTGATTAAGATGGTATGATCCTTAGTACACGCGTACAAAAGCCAGGCCATGAAAAGCAGAGCCCCAGCTGATGGCAGAGCTCTGTTCCTTAACGTGTGTTGTCTTGCCACGTGCTACAGAAGAGACGCTACCGTTTTTAATTCTTGTCCTCAGAGGTACCTGCCTTCTCTCATTGTCTATCCACTCGCCCTTCTGCAAGTCCTCTTTCCTGAGCTGCTTTTCCCTTGTTGAACCAGCCAGTGTCAGACATCATGACCGTGGGTACTGGAGAAGCTGAAGCAGTTGGCAGTGGGGCGTGCGGACACGGGTGGGTTAGTGGGGCGGCCAGCACTGTGTAATGTAGCTGTGTAAGTGGAAGGAAATGTTTGCTGCTTGGATGAAGCACAAGGAATGTTGTTAGGTGGTTTGTTTCTGTACCAAGCAGTCCCCATCACAGGCACCTTTAGGTTGTGGGAGCTTCTTACACAGGCACCAGCACGTAACTGCCCGGCTACAATGAGCAGCTTCCAGGGGGCTGATTGCGAAGCACGGCACGGAGCACAGCTGATTCTGACAACGGGTTGGTTTTCTTCCCTTCGCTGTGACTTGCAGTGTGAACTGCCTGTTTCTGAGGTAGAGCAACATTCCCAAAAGCCGAATTCATCAGTGGCCTAGTTCTCTAGCAACTTCTCTTTTATTTATTTGTCCAGTGAAGTTACAGGCAGCTCCATGCTAGTAGTTGCTCCATTTATGAGGAAAATCAGTAGAAGAAACTAGGCAGGGTTTAAGAACACTTATAAATCTCCCACCTGAGCTGTAGTCCAGTACAAAATCTACAAGTGTTTTCAGGAACATGCTTTCTTTTTTGCTTCCCATCAGTTCAAAACTCCTTGTCAAATGTAGGAAAGTGCGTGCTATACTCTCCTTTTTTCCCATCTTTTAATTCTGCTATTTTGAAGTTACGTAGACAAGACTAGGGCGGGAAGCTGCATCTTTTAATTGTAGACCTCTACCATGCAGATACACTTAAGCGTGCTGTTACAGGCTGCTGCTTCCAGTCCGTAGAGAGAAGGCTCCCGTGGCAGTGGCTCAGGCTCTCCCCTAGCAATTGTGTTTCCCTCCTCAGCGTGGGGAACCGCGGGCCCTTCCATGGGCGCTTCCAGAAAGGAGGACAATGCTGCACCTTATTCCATCTGGTCAAAGCTCTCCAGCCAGGCCGGACTCGTGGAGCAAAATATGGGCCCTGCAGCTTGTTGTGGCCATCAAACATTGCCATTTACAAGATGATATTTGAGAAGATGAGTTTATTTGCACTAAACCCTGCTCAGACTATTGCGGTGACTGGTGTGTGTATAATTGTCTCCTTAGTGATTGGCAGCATGAAAATAGCTCCATACGGCTGATACGGTTACACGTACCTCTTTGTAGTCAGGAGAGGACAGTAGATGGAGGACTGAAGACCTAACAACCACCATCTTCTGCACTTCGCCCCTGTACAGCAAAGCTGGTTTGCACGTTGCAGAAGTGGGGTCCGCTGTGTCAGAGCTGAGCTGATCTCCTGGGGGAAAATCCTCCCCATTGTGGTTACTCCTCTCTTCATGCAGCCTCTGCGAGTGTCGTGTTTGAGCAAACAAGGCCAACTTGTTTTATGCAGGAGTGGGCTTCCTTTCAGCTGTAAGGGGTTACTTTAAGCAACTGCACTAAAATGAGGCAGAAGGAAAACGCAACTGATGCTGAACGGGCAGTCTAAACTCTCTCCCGTTGGTCTTTTTCCCTGTTTTGCTGCTTTGTTCTTCCTATGTTACGCTCAGCACATAATCATGTAATTCCCATGGTTTACAAAGCTTTATTCCAAATATCTGGTATTTGAAAGTCTATATTCAGGTTTTTTCTTTTTTTAAGACGCTGAAGGTTTTCAGTACAGAGCATTTATTTGGGTTATAATGGCATCATCTGCCAGAAGGATGAGGAAGCATTGCTTGCTCTCTCTGCCAGCAGTAAGTTCAGAGTGAGGCTCACTATCTGAACATGATAAAAGAAGTTGCCTGACAAAATCATATTCTTTATCTGATTAAATTAATGTCTCACTAAAGGATGGAGAAGACCCCCTCAAACTGCTAAGAAATGCTTCCATGAATGGGCTTTTGAATATTCTCCAACTCTAAGGTGTGGGCAAGACACAACCATGTGCTACAGGGTGGGACCCTGTATTTTGGGGGAAGGAAATTTGCTCAGACCAGGGATAGTCCCCTGACAGATGACAACAAAAAAACCAACATCCCAGAGTCACAGCAAGATGAGAAACCTGCAAACTTGTTATTTCCTGAGATTATGCACTCTTTTGTTGGCAACAGTACAAGAAGGCAGTTGGCCTATTTAAATTAAGTACCACACATAATGGAACATAAATTATAGCTGTTAGCTCCAATGTGATAACATGGTTAGGGAGAACAAATTGCACTGAAGCTATGTGGGTTTTTTCTTACTCTCAAAGGGGTCTCAGTGGAGCAATGTCTGGAGCTAATATTAGGTCTGGGAATTTCACAAGCACTAATAGGATTAGGCACATGACTTCCTTTTCAGTCTGACAAGGGTCAACTGTTTAATTCCCTTGGGCTTTTCTGAGATTTACTCGCTCCCACTCAAGATGTAAAACAAAACAAAATATTGTAACTTCATATAGTACCTTTACGAAAATTATAGAACTGTGCTCTTCTGCTTGCAAGAGGAAACCTGTTCTCATTTCCCAACAACTCATTTGGCAGGGTAGGGGGGTGGGCACTTCAAGGTTAGTCCTACTCAGCTTCAGTTTGGTACTTAGGGCAAGGCTCACGGTGCCTTTCTGTCTTCAGGCACAGCTGAAAAAGACTAACAGAGTGTTAAAGGAAGTGAAGGGTTGTTTGCAAGTGCTGCTAGAGGATTCTGGATGTAAGTAGCATCACCCGTTAGCAATATTCACTGCCTTATTATCTGGGGGATAGTGGTGGTCAGAGGAAGAACTGATGAGAGATCTCACTGTCCTTTCTCTCCTGTCAATGATATCTTTTGTTTTACAGCTGTCTTAGCAGCTTTATTACTAAGAGCACTAATGTCTAATAGGATCAAACCCTGAAATAGAAGGCTGTGACAGAAAAAGCCCATGCTGCCTGGATGTCTTTATGATTTCAAAACTTACAGTCCTGTTGTGTCTCTGGTTGCTCAGTCCTCCTCCTTCTCTATGAGATCACATGTACACTGAAATTAAGAAGTGGTGCCTGTCAGTTTAACCCTCTGTGAGGGGTACTGCTATCATGACATTTAGGGTATCGGGCCTTTTCTTCAAAAGTGAAGGTTAGTGCTAACAGAGCATCTTACCATTTGATGGTGCTGTAAGAAAAAAGTCTCCTCCTAATGGGAATCACTCCTGCCAGTGCTTGAGATACCAAAATCCGTGCTCCATCCCTGCTCCCACACATGAAAACACCTGACATCTTCATAACTACATCCCAGTGCACACGCAAAAGCTGTCCTCTCTCCATCCAAACCCCAGATGATGAGCTTGGTTATACCTGTCACGTCACTGCAGAACACAGTTCTACTGGTCCAGAGCAGGAAAAAAAATAAGGACTCTAAAGTGGAGGACTCTTATCTGAATATTTATCTCTAGGCTTACTGTGATTGCTTTCTGGGCCTCTTCTTCAGACTTCATTATTTTTGTAGTACTTTTATTTTGCCACCCAGGGATGGTCTGCCTAAGGTAAGCTTGCAAGGGAATCTAATTTCTAATTCATACTGCATTTTAATTTAATAACTAATAGCTTCTGACACGCTAATTCTGAAATGAGCTTTCCCTTGATGAATTCAGAGAAGAGTATTTAAATAATGGTGTAACTCACTTTCAGATTCCCTCCTCCCCCTCCTCTCATCAATTTTTAATTATACCTTGGACGTGTGAGCTCTCCCCTGGCTGGTATGATGGACAGACAGGGATCCTTATTGCCTAGAAAATCAAATTAGAAATGCTATGGTCTGGCTCTGACCAACGTCAATCGTACTCTTCAGAAGCTAGTCCTAAGAAGGAGAATAAATGAAGAAGAGTAACAACCCAGAACTACTCCGTTACAATATGATTGTACAAAAACAGAATTAGTTGGTAAAGGTTTATTTTATTAATGTTTCCTGTAATGTGTTTTTAAAAGTGATTTATAGGAATGACCACACATCTGTGGCTCTAATAGTGTATTTAATCAAAATTAATAGAGTCATGAATATATGCTGGAGGAAAGGGTTGTCTTGTCAGGTCTGTAGAGTCCTCAGCTGAGG